TGAACCATATGTGCTCGTTCTGTATAGTCAGTTGTGGACTGCTTGAGGATGTTGCTGCTCATCAGTGGAGCATGTTAGCCTGGCATGGTGTTTGGTAACAGTGCAGGCTGTGTTTGTGTTGCCTTACCAGTAATGGAAGAGTGGGAGGCTCACATGGACCTATGGCTCCACCAGGAGAAGACCAAAGATGTGATATTACATCCATTGCTGGTGTACGTTCATTTGCCTGTTCTCAAAAGCAGGATTTTGTTACAGACTGAGGGACTAATGATGTCTGTCTGTGAGCTGAGAGGCCTTGCTGGGAAGAGGTCAACGTGACAAAACATGGAAGAGAGCCAAGAAACCAGAGAATAGACAAGAAGTTGCAAGCCTGAGACCACCTTGGCGGCGAGTAGGGAACTGTCAGAATTGGGGACTGAAATTGTGAACTGTACATTGCTGGCATGACATATCCATGGGTTGGTTTCCAAAAGTACTTCTACGCAGCACTTAATGCACTTAATCCTGTACTTGTTATTAGTTATGATAGAAGTCACATTGTTCTTTATTTTTATATACTTTGTTTCAAAAGGAAAGAGTGTGGGTAGGTGCCCAGCTGAACATCTTGCCTGTGTTGCTAACAGCTGTGGTGGCTTCCAGCCAGAAGGGATTGAGCTTTTTGAGCACCCAGAGTGGTCTGAATGTCCTTGGAGGAAGGCAGGCAGACCAGGGGGTGGCTTGTGAGCAAGAGGTCCTGCTGGAGCACACAGCCCCACAGAGCTGAGGCCCCAGCAGTGCTGGCAGAAGGGAGACAAACAAGTGCCTCTGCTGCTGTTCTCCAGTATGTAAACTGCCAGATAAGATCCTGCCAGTGCTTGGTCAGCTTGCATAGGGATCAAGGCTAATTTGGGTAGTCTAGTAACAGCAGGAGATAAAATAAACGCAAGGGGACAACCAAGAGTCTTGGGAAACCAGGCTGCCTGCATCTGGTATCCCTGCCAGTAACACCATATAAGGCTGGAACTGCCTGGGTAAAGGCATCAGAAATAGCACAGTTAGGTATGGCTGTAGCAAAACCAGGACCAACGGGGAGGAAGTAACTGGGGGCAGTTTGTTTATTTGGGAAGGATTGAGTGGAGGAGGTAGCAAAGGTGGGCCGTGATGCTGAAGAAGAAAGGATGAGGTGTGAAGTCCAGTGAAGAAGACCAGAGGGCTCCAGCTGATGGTAGAAGTGTGGACACCTATGGCCTATAACAATGACGACCTGCAGATTCTAGGCCTGGGAGGCTGGAAGGTATCACCTAGGATAACCCACTGGACTCACTCCATTAGGTCTATGGCCATATGTTGTGGCATGGAGGAATGAACCTGCACCTTGGGACTTAAAAAGCCTGCTGTTGACTGTTGGCTGTGTGTGAGAATTATTAGATCTGAGATTGAGAGTTTGTAATTTCATAGCTGTGCCTTACAGTTTTCATAAATATGTAACTTGATCAGTGTATGGTACTTAGGTTATTTTTCTGTTTGGCTGTTTTCCTTCTACTGTGTTCACCAGTCAATAAACAGCGTGCCTCAGTTATGTCTTGGGTAACTGGTCTGAAGAGGAGAGCTGCACCTCAGCACAGTCACAGAGCTGTGGTCCATGGAGTCCAGCTGCCATGGGAGTGCTGCTTGCCACGAGCCTTCCTCTAACAGGCCTGAGTGTCCCAGGGAGCACTTAATCCTGTACTAACAGGCCCAGAACCAGGTCTGACCATCACTTGCCCAGGAACACCATTATTAGCCTGCCTGTGCACAGTCAGAGAGGCAGAAATCCATGTATGTAGTGGCCAAGCAGAAATTGCTGATAACCACGATAAACCATCAAGGCTGCTATGGGTTCCCCAAGTCCTCCCACTTTGCCCAACATTAAAGAGCAGCACCAACAGCCTGCCAGGGTGGTCATGGTAGATGTGGTTTTGGGTAAGATGCCCACAGCCTCCAGTTGCCTTGGAAGAGCAGCAGTCACTCAGTGCAACAAACAAAAATATGTTAAAATTTTTAGAAGAATGAGAGTTATGGTCTGCTGAGGTGTTGGGTCTTACATGATGGGCAAATTAAGTCTGTCCTTGAAATGGGGTAAATTAAAAAATTCAGAACAATTTAAGTAACTTTAAACCCATGATTCTTACAAGAGTAAAATGATGGTGTAATTAGCAGTGTAATTCTTTCTTTTCCATTAAGTACCCTCGAATCAATATAATTATGGAGATACTTACTTTTTTTAAGGGAAGGTTAAAATGGTATTGCTGATTCATCAAGAATCTGCCTCTCAAACATCAATACAATCACAAAAAGAAAAAAAGATAAATGAATGAATACCACAAGTCATACTTATTCAGGATGTTCCTGTTTTGTGTCATTTCAGTTAATAGCAGGTACCACAATGGTGAGTCAAGACTAAACCTCTCCAAGTGTGCACACTTAACCTTCTTCTCTAGAATAGCCTCAGAGTCCATTAGCTGCCTCCACTTAAAACTGGACATACTGGGTAAACCATATGCAGTCAGTAGATGGCACCAAATCATTACTATTACCTGTGCTTTCCAGCTAAATGCAAGTGTGTCTCAGCTCCAAAGAACTCAGGCTGTAATCATGAGGTGAGAGACAACAGGGGGATGGCAGCAGGGAGGTGGAGAGAAGATGCTCAGTGGCAGGTGGTGCACACCCAGAACCCTGCTGCACTTGCACAAAGGTGAAGCCCTGAGTAGTCTTGCCAGCCTTGCCCACACACAACTCCAGGGATGGAACAAACACTCCTGCTGGCCCTGGAGAAGGCAGACGTGCAGTTTAGTCACTGCAGAGACACATCACATTAATAACCACCACACTGTAATCAAGTACCACTCTTCATTACTTTGTTCAGTTTGTGAATCATCTCTGTAGCCTAAAGCAGGGACATCTTACCACTGAAAGAATGTCACTTAGCTGGGAGGAGACACAACCTCTTGAAGCCGCAAGAAGTATATAACAGGTTTTTGATTATTTTTTTTAAAGTCTGATCCTTCCCACTTTCCCTCTTGCATCAGTCATGATACATCAGTACCAAGGATCTTGGATAAGGTGTTAAAGTGGCTGTTTGCATCTTACCCCACCAAACTAACACCACTAAAGCTTTCCTGTGTAGTACTACACAAACTGACAAAGCATCCAGCAAAAGCATTTCCTCACTTTGCAGCACAGCCATCCCCAGCAGGGAGCTACCAAGGAGTCAGAGCCAGGCCAAGTGTCAGGACCCAAAGGACAAGATCTTGTGATGGAACAGTGCACAAACACCCCGCACCTCCCCACTTTTCCCTACAGGGACTGAGGGTAAAGGTAGCCCCACCTTTGCTGCTGCTGCCTCCTCAGAGTAGAGATAGAAAGCTTCCTTCTACAGCAGAAGGCAAGTGACAAGAGAAGGGATATTGAGACATCCCCCTGCCAGCTTCTTTGGACAGCTGCTTCTGCTAGTCCTGGTGTCTCCTCATGTACAAACTGACATGTACATAAGACCTGCTGCTGTGGGGACACACACAGATGGTGCATTTTTTCACCTGAACAGGCAGTAGACCATTTCAGCTTTGTATCTTTGGAGCTACTTTTGTCCTGTGCTTGATGTCTTCCATGTGCATTTCCACAGCCAACTGCAAGGGCTCAGCACCACACTGAAGTCTGTCCATCAGTCAGACCCTTCTGCAAATATTTAAAAGTCCACATATCTTACAATAATGTCAGTCTCAAAACACTCAAGTCTAAAATTAAAGTTTATTTCAGCTGTAAAAAGAAACAGGGAAATATGTACATAAGTATCTTAAGAGTTACACAAGTGATAATGTGTTTCTTTTCCATGTGTAGTTCCCACTGCCTGGCACTTGGAGATAACTTATTTCTCAGTGCCTTTTAGATGTTTGACAATACACACAAAAATACAGCTTCCAGTGGGAATCCCAGAAATTGTAATCCACCTCAGAAGGTCAATTTTTAAATTTTGTTCAGTATTTGGTATAGAAAAGACACCTCAAACATGACCTGGGCCAGCAGTGTGCCTGTAAGGCTGGTGAGTGATACTCTTAAAGCAGGCAGCTGCCTTCCACCTCAGGTGGCAAACTGAGGCTGCCGGACCCAGCACTGCTCCAGAGCAGAGGTGCCGTGCAGCCTGTCGTCCGTCAGTCCCAGGAACAGCAGCTGACTGCAGGATTTAAAGTTGTTCTTTCCACCTGAATGGCTTACCCAGTACTTCTTTCCAGACGCAGCTCCAAGTGCAACCAAAGGGAACTTTGCCTGATCAGGCTGCACTTTGCTTTACATACAAACAATCGAAGTACGGACCACTGACTGACAAAGGGTACAATCAGGGGAATATTCAGATGATACATTATCTGTATGGAATACAGCTTATCATATACTTTCAGTATGAATACAGGGTCTTTGTAGTAATACATTTTTTTAAAAAGTGGTCATATTGATTTACCTGGCTCAATTTGAAAGATTAAATTCTTTGCCACTCATTCAACATCTTTTGCACTTAAAGAGTCTTTAATTCCCACGTAGAGAACAGCACTTTAAGCACATGTGACTGTGCCTGATGTCAGGCCAATGTTGGAGCTCTTTACTGGACTGGGACTAAGGCAAACATCTCCTTGCATGACTGAGCACTGGAGACATTAAAAGAAAAGCAATAACAACAAAATCAACTCACTGTGATAAATTCTGGACTCTGAATTTAAGTACTCACATTGAGCAGTCAAGTCTCCCTGCGTGTTCAGTAGGGGAGGGAAACTATTCTTTCTTCACTTAACCCATTATATGTGGTAGGTAGGAAACTAGTTCCCCTACTTCAGCATTACACTCAGATGCCCCTCAGCAGGAGTTAATTAGTTCAACTAATGTTCTTCAGAAAAATGTGTTAGTGAAATTAACCTGCACTAGCTCTAGCTAATCAGTGTTTGCTCTTAGTAAAAATACTGGTTAATAAGTAAAACAAATGCCTTCAACAGAAAGGGTGGTTAAAATATTTTATTTTTTTATATAATAGAACATACTGCTGTTTACTTTAAATCACTTTAGAGTAAAGGCACACATTGTTAAAAATACTTCAAATTTACATCACATGTACAAATGCATAAAACAGATGTACATGTCACCAAAAAAAATACAATATGGCTTCGTAAGGTTGAGGCGGGGCTGGGACAATTCAACATATATTTAAATTTTACAGGATGCTGTCAACACTGAAAGGACTGACTAGAACAGAAGAGAATGGACCTAAAACACTGATTATGTTATATAAATGGTACAACACATTGAATATACAACATCAAGAATTTGTGTATGGATTCATAGAATTGTTAGTTCTGCAAATTCATCACTTTCCAGTGCCACTGAGTAAACAGTGCATGCATATGATCTGCCAATTTGCAACAGTGGGAAGATAAATTGCAAATTCTCCATGCACAAACAGGTTCCTTGAAGAATCTGCTGATATGCTTTGTAAAGAAAAAAAACTAAAACAACAGACTAAAGGTACTGACTGGAAAGAATAACTGAATAACAAACAGACAACTTAGATGGTAATCACTTCTGGCTAAAAAGCATAAAACATTACATCTGCAAGAATGCTCCATGACAATCATTTAGCATTAGTCCCACCCAAGTTTAAGGCTCCTATCTAAAATTTACCTTAGATTTGTTTTCCTTCTTGTGAAAGTACCTGAGCACAGATATCAAAGATCTACAGAACTTTTAAAATATCTGCAGATACTTTAAAAATCTGTAGATAACTTAAAGCAAAAACATCAATATATTGAATTCTACCAGCTAAATATTCTCAAAAAAACAACCAACAGAACAACATTTTGGTAAGTCAGTAAAGCCAGGAGAAGAGTAAGCTTAAGCTTTTGCTTTCTTCTTTTAAAAATGTACATAAAATGTAATAGAATTATTCAAATAGGACTGCTTCATTATAAACAATACATTAAATGTTTTTTAAAAACAGGAATCAAAATTCAGGCAGTCACTCTTCTATAAATTGTTTACAAATGCTGCTTTTCCTCTTGCAAAAAATGGCTGGTGGTTTCTTAAGCACTGATAAGATAGAAAATAAAAGGACCTGCCCCCACTGTATTCTGTATTATCATTTACATTTTGTGTCCAAGAAGCATGAATTGCATGAATTGCTGTCATTCTCATTTGCAAAGGTTTATTCCCCACACAACTGTAAGGCCCAGAAAAGCACCTAGCATCATCTTAAAAGCTCTGCGGGATCGAGTTAGATTCAGTAAGTGTAAAGATAAACATGCACTTTAATAATTTGCTGCACTGGAACTCATAAAATTTTCAAAGTGTCAAGGCAGAAAAGCATCAGGTTGCATGGACAGACCAGCTCCCAGCAAAGTCAATGCCATCACAGAGAGGAGCATCAGACTCTTAAGTTAATTTTAAAAGCTCAAAAAAGACAACACTGCACAGAAGATACAGGTACATACTTTCAGCAAACAAAAGACTGTACAGGACCATTTCCAACACAAGGCTTTGGAAATACATCCCACTGAAAGTGGTTTGTTGATTTTATTGAGCCAACTGAAAACAACAAAGAAACACAAAACACATCACCTTTTCTTCCTCCTGCCTCACACACTGGTTCCCATCTTTCATTCCCAAAAGAAATTAATACAGATAAAAACCTCACTTTAAGCAACTGTATATGAGCCTGAGAAGCAAATGGGACTTCCATTCAAATACATCAGGTTAAAACTTTGATATGTCAAAATTATCTGTATTGTTGAACTGGGACTAGCTGATTGCAGAGGGCACTTTACAATCACTGACAATCCTGTATAAAAAGAGGGTACAAAAAATTCCTATAAAATATTAAACTAGAATTTAAAAAAAAAAAAAAGAAAGATTGATGATGGATGACTGTTCTGGATAATTAACAAAGAAAATAACAGCAGTACCCATAATTCTATGTATAAATAGCAGGTAATACAAATCAAATGCTACAGCTAGTTTGAAAAACTAAATTGAACATTGCTTTCCTATTAAATAGATTAAAATATTCATCCACCGAGAAATTACATTGATAAATAAAATATTTTCATGTATCAAAAATGAGGGGCAGGTACTATCAATTCCAGACTTCTTACCCAAATATGAAAGGTCTGAGAAACAAAAGTAAATTGTACAGTAGTTCTAGCCTCTTAAATTTACAATACTGAATCCAGCAGGATATGGCTAAATAATACAGTTTAAATAAGCTAATCTAAAGGAACAGAGTGTCCTGTAAACATCTGACACAAACCACATTGCATTCTGATGGGTTGGCTATTCCTTCTCTATGCAGAAGAAAGACAATTCAACTGATGACGGTAATGAGGGATGCAATCTAAAGGCAACGTTCCTGTTCTTCAATAAGGCTTGTAAAAAATTTGAGCAGTGTACGTATGACAGCCTGTACAACTCTGAAATTCCTGGAAAGCTCTTGAATTTAAAAAAAAAGCCTACATGTTTTACGTATAAAACACACATTGAGAAGATGTCCTTTTAAATTATGTGTAAAAGTGTCTGGCACCAGAAACAACCACTTGGTATTATTATACCTAAGAAAATAAAAGCAAAGAATCACTCAAGACAAGTGTCCCTGAACTTCGGCAGAGATGCAGCCGATTAGATTACTTGGTGTTGTTCTGTTCCTCTGGAAAAGAAGTCATGAACACACACTCTTTAAGCTGCCTGTACTACATCATCAGTAATATATATATTATATATACAGTATGCATATATAATATATATATCTGCAAACACATTTCTTTTAGCTTAATCTGGAATCATCTGGTTTCATGCAACACACTTACCAGGAATCAAAACTATTAATTAGGTCATAGCTGGTGTGACTTTAGTATCAAATCTTTTACTATATAGTGATTGACATTGCTCAGCATCAATCAGCTCTGACTGAAATCCTCATTTTCTTTCAGTCCAGTTCACGAGTTGCCTCTATCACCCTTTTTTCAGCCCCTTTCTTCACACAGTGCCTCCACTGGATGTTCAATGCTGAGGCACCTCTGTCAGCCTCTGAAGATAGCTCTGTGCTGCTGGCATCGAGAGAACAAACTGAACTGTCCTGTGACCTATTCGGTAGCAGCCATATCCCAGCAGTCCAAAAACTGTTGCTTTTAAGACAAATTTGAAAATCTTACTTGAAGTTGATGGAGGAGGCACACTGAAACAAAAGATAAAAAACAATATTAATATTTGCACGGCTGCTAAGAGCAGGCATTTTCCAATCAAAAAAAGGATCTTTTCTCTCCCTTTCCCCCTTATAGTGCAGGAAATTTTCAGGTAACAGATGCATCATGCATTAACAGTGTATTCTTTCATGTTCAAGGGCTACCTACAAATTAAATAACAACAATATTAAAGCCTTTTCTATTTATGTATGATGCCACTCTTAATGGTTAGTCTCTCTAAATCATATTTTAGACACCTAAATACACCATCTAGGCAGGTCCCTGTTTTTTCTGATTTTCACAGACTGAAGAGAAGGGTGAGTTGGTTACATAAACACAGTAAACACATGTGATAAGGTAAAGTGTCAATATTTGAAAGGCTCTATTACCCTAAAGCACCACAGACCAATACTACCAGGTCATATTATAATACCTTCTGTATTTCTGAAGTCCTGACCTTTGCAGCTTTATAGGATATGCGGTCTGAACGTTTTTGTTCTTCAATTCTGTCTTTTAAAAAGCACATGCATCTATTTTAATAGGTATCCGGAGCAAGAGTTCACCAGATACATGGTTTAAATCAGCCCATATTTAGGTATACACATTAAAACAAGTCATTGCTTACATATACAGTTAAGAATAGGCTACAAGCAACTGTGACACTAAGCTTGCAAGAGCCAGCAGTGTCCTGACACAACTAAAGCTTTAAATCCAACAGTTTATATTTACCTAAGGTAGACTGGAAGCCTGGTTTTGTTTTCACCATCTTCTACAGCCCCAATTTGAAGTCTCATTTTAAAAGACTTTAATGAGGACCAATTAATTTTCTTTCTAGATAAGGACATTCTCATCTCTACTTCCCTCCATATTCAACTATTTACTTTTTTCCTTTGATATTTTTCTTTGCTGTAAGCACAATGTGCAAGCACTGCCCAGCAAGTCACTGAGCTGACAGGGTAGAGATGACAGCAGTGATGTTTCTTCAAGCCATGACAACCAACCAAAAAACCTCCAAAGAAACTAGTTACTACTGGTTTTTAGCAAGAGAAGCAGTTACATCAACATGTAGGAAAGGACGACTGTTACCTCATTATTTCCTGGATCTTTAAGTCAGAATTCCAGTTCTTCTCAATTCCAGGTACATGACCCATGCCAACAACACCAACTACAACAGCTGGGATATACCTTCTAGGCTCATCTGAGAAAGAGAGGTGGAGAAAAGGGAGCACACTCATAAAAGAATTCATTTCAAGCCAGAAATAAATAGCAATGGGTGAGAATACAAAATTCATTTTTCCAGGACACGAGGACTCTTATGACCAGATATTGAAACCCTGTTACATACTCATCTCACCTACTGCCTCTTTCACTGGAAGTCTGAAAAAATCAGCACAGTTTTTAGATTTTCAAGAATCACTTGTTTTGTAAATAGACATGGTTGGTGCTCATACTCCTGGCTCAGGGTGAAAGGCTCAGCAGATGCAAGGTAAATTCATTTCTTTCTTTCTCTGGGTAGATCATGTTTCTTTACTGCTTATCAAGATCAGCCCTGGTCTTTGCTGTCTACTGAACAGAGAGCTTTCTCCACCACTTTGGACAGTGGCAGCTGGCACATACCCAAACTGTGACAACACCTGGGCTAACAATCTGAGAACAATGCTCGAGTCTGTGAAGTTTACTGTTACAGACCTGGCCTCAGCAACTGCAAAACCCAGACCATTGACATGCAGCAGTTGACCAGTCATCCTCAGACCACTGCAACATGTGCCAATTCTCACCCTCACCTCCCAGCTACCATCCAAATTTCACAACACCCAGTGGAGATCAAAATATTGTTCCTGCTCTACGTGGTATCAACTGAAGAGATTAACATCCATTTTTAATGTTTTTAAGCACTGTATCTTATGTGATGTGTGGCATTCATGAATAGAACATCCCAGATTTCCTGAGAACTGAACTTCAGACCAGTACACAGAGAACACCTTGCTGGTTATGATATCTGTTTTAAAACAATTACTTTCTGAAGCTCGAGGTAGTTCTATCTGCTTTGCTGCTTGCTTCAGCATGTATGTCAAGTAAATATCTCGTTCTGAGACAATCGTTCGGTGAAGATCAGGGAATTCTCCAATCATTTCTGCCATCATCTGCTCCAGTAAATCCTTCTGTTTGCATTTCTCCACATCATCTTTACTGAAAGAAAGGTAAGTTTTCTCAGTATCTGTTATGTTTTTAGAGGCCAACACAGACAAATCAATGAATAAAAACAATTGGGCATTATACACATTATTTACCTAAACACATGTTCTACAGTTCTCCTACCTCCGATATCCTTTCCAAAAGGGAAACAATCTCCATAAACCTGTAAAACTGGATACCTAACAATGCCTCTACAGTGAGGCAAAGGGAAAGAAGAAAGGTCACTTGCCTTTAGCCAGTTCAACTGGATTTTTCCCCTTCCCACTTTAAAAGCTGACAACTCAACTCAGCAAGACCACTAGGGCTTCAAAAGCAACACTTATGGCGCCCACTTTCAGTCTGTGTTAAAAGCTTAGAAGAGCCAACAGAGAGCACTCGTGAGGAAGCAGATCACTGAACACACAGAGGCTCTTCTTAAGGAACGAAAAAAGCACACCATAAGGCACAGTCTGAGGGGATGGAAAGATATGTGCAGATTCCTAGTGTCAATCACAGGTCTTCAGCAGAGAAGTCAAAGTTTTAAGTCAATTCCCAGAACAGAATAGAAAATGGGCAGGAAATGAAAAGTAAGAACTGCAGGAGTAAATGTAAGGAGCTTTTCTAATTTTCATGGGTGCTGTAAACCCTTCTGCTTGCACCCACAGCTGTGGTACAGCCATAGCTTGGAGCAACAGAATTATCTGGTTTTGCATGTCTACTGAAGAATTATGTCAAACACGCTTCCCTTTAGTTTCCAAGATGAAAAGGACATTACAAATGTCAACAGAGGAACTGAAAGCAGAAATGCACTGCTAGCTTCCAACAGATCACAGAAACATCATGTTGAATTATTACTCCATTTTCCATAGAATCTCATGTGGATGGCTGGGTGCACAGTATTCCTCCCCCTACCACACCCTCCCCAATGATTTCCCAATTATAAATACCTTTCCTTTTCAACCTCTATCCACATGTTATGTTTAAAAATCAATTGTATGACAACAACTGAGATGTTATGGCCAAGTTTCAGTGGGAAGCTGGCATGTATATACCATAATTATCTTAATATTGCAGTTGAAAACCAAAATGTTCTTAGGATGGACGAAGAATGGGAGAAAATGCGCAGGAATATATCCTCTGATGTCCCCCAAAAGCTTGGAACAGTCTCATGCTGGTATTAGACCAGTAGTAGTAAGAAAGTGAAAGGTAGTAAGAAAACTTAAATTCGTGCATGAACTTAATGGCTTGAAAGAGGGTCAAACCCATTTTACAGATTAATGTAACAGCAAGTATTTACCGGAAATCACAATTAAGTAAATGCTAAAACTGCAAAACAGGTCTGATTGACACAAATACAGTTTGAACCCTGGTCCAACTTTAAAAGCCTGTAAAAAAATGCCATATATCACTGCATGAGCTGTGCAGAGTTCACAGGGTATGAGAGAGGCCCTGAGATTCAGGGACCAAGAATTTTAAGAAGTTTTTTTAAGTTCACTAGGAACTCTCCAGCACCAAATCTTTCGCTTCATCGGGAAGTAAGGCATCAAACAACAATTAAAGAAAGAGCTGGAACAAGATCAGGAAAGAAGCTTTCTTTTCAAAAATACCTGTTATTGCAGGGTAGTTTGTATATTTATCCTTCTTGCTAACTTCAGATTTTATTGCATCAGGCTGTGTACCCTTATACTAAAGTCAAACTGAGGAACTGAACAACTCACCCTGACAAACATATGGGATGCTTATTCATACCTGATTGGGTCAGACAAGAAGCAAAGGCCCCAACCAAGCTTGACTTTTTGCCAGAAGGAAAGTGCAGCAATTGCTCTCTTAAATGTAACAGGGATGGGTCGGTCACCAAGATGGAATTTACAGAAGGGTACTTTACTGGCCTGAAAGAGAAGATACAAATCACTAGTCAACGTTTCATACTGCAGCACAGTACATCCTTATTAATGGAATGTTAATGTTTTATTGTGTTATACAAGGTACCTTGAAAAAGAGCAAGTAGTGTCATACTTCAACATAAAAAAATATTTTGGCTTTGCAGTAAATAAAATTTACAAAATACTACTTCATAAAGGAATAAATCAGCTACACAATGTAGTAGGTATTACAGTTAAAACATTAAGTTGTAATGCCACACTTTTTAGGTTAATTTTACTGAAGCAGAAAGCTTCTGCTTACTACTACGTAAGGTGAGCAATGGGGCTTAATATCTATCTGGGTCTGAATAAAGTTGAGGTGAAACAACTCCGATCATTTCACTTTTACCTAGGATTTGTCAGGATCATTAATTTTTCAGTTTGTCATGGTAAAATATATTCAAGAAGGAGGTTATGAAACAAGAACTGATACCAGATACCACGAGATAACGTGAGCTGAGACTTGGCTGTAGCTCATACTGACAAATTTTAGTGTAGCACAGACTTTCTAGAAAATTATTTCCTATGCACAGTTGTTTAAAAATTTCAAGCAATCACTTTAGAATAGGACAGAGCTACTTTTTTCTTCTTTCCCACTTAAAATGTTTCATTCTGGTCTAGAATGCTCAAGAAAATACACCTTGAAAAAGTTTTCTTTTTATTAAGGATAAATACACTAAATTATTCCAGATTCTTTATCGGCAATGTTATCTCAGATTTCCTTATTAATACATAATTTCCCTAAAACCAGCAAGATGCATTCTGCAAGGTGGATATGTACATGGAAAATAGTGTCCCAGTGCTCCCAGACAAAAAAAAAAAAAAATATTAGCGTGATACATAGCTACTATTTAATTCCATGTATCACAGATGGCAGTAGTACAAAAGGGAACGTTAGAAGACCAGATAGGAGTAACAGACCAGTCAGATATTTCACTTCCCCAATCTTTCCAGATTAATGTGTTAGATCTCATTAATACTTTAGAGCTGGTTTTCACAGCCTGAAATCCTGACACCACCAACAGTGGGACCACGATCAATACTCAGAATTCAAAACCAATTACTTTAAAGGAACTAAATTATTAATGAAAACAAGTATCATCAGAAATATCATCGAGAAAAACCCTTATTGTTTGAAGCCTTTTTGGAGTTGCTTTCATACCACTTATGGCTACAAACTTTTGTACCTTTGAGTGCACTTTGAAGCTGAAAATGATTCTTACTATTTCATTGGCTTCAGCAGAGCTATGGCCAGAGTGCTCTTTCGAGTTAGCGACAAAATGATTTTATTTAGTTCAACTCTGGGAGCACAAGGCCAGTAATCTGACCTCAGAAAAGCCATTTCAAGTTCACACCTCTTTGAAAGCCTCCCTGAATTCTCCTCCTGGGGCCATTCCCAGCTGTTCTGTGATGTGAGCAGAAACCTTCAGAAGCAGCATTTGCATCAATCCAGACATGACTCCGTTCTGGCAGAAGAGGAAGAAAACCAAAAAAGATAAATCAATAACCTGTGTGGATTTCTAAGAATTTTCACAGTAATGAAAAAAAATAATTATTTTTATGAAGAAGCAGCACTGAAGCTATCTTTGGAGCCAATTCACTGATCAATTCAGTTCATATTTCAGTTTTTATCAGTTTACCTCACTGTGCAGCCAAAGTATTCTCACCTTCAACAAAAATGTATGGCAGAGTTAAGAAAAGAAAGGAGGACAGCCAGACTTAATTCAGTCTATATTTACTCTGCCTGCTTGAAGAAACTATCTGAATAACTTTTCTGGATACAAAAAAATAAAGGGATCACAAGAGTATATTCCATTGAATGCACAGTGAACACCACGTCATACAAGATATTGAAGTAAATATCCAGTGGGCTAATCACAGACACATCCATAATCCTGGAAAACACTGGACTGAGGACTGGTTAGGTTAACGGATGCAGAAACAGAGAATCTAGCATTGTACAAGAAATTGCAGTGCATGACTTTGGCATATAAGACCTTAGAAGAGACCTCACAGTTCTGAGTATGACTAACTCCCATAAGCAGATTGAAGGTTCTCTACTACTTTTTTGAACAGAGACTTAAAATTAAAACTATTATTTTTAAGAAGAAAAAAAATTCTCCTATGTATGCTTATGCAAAATTTTTCTTCCCTGACCTTTTTACAAAAAGAATGAAAAAACATCCATTCAGAGATGTCCCTTCTGTCCAGCTCTGGGTGTCCTCAACTCAATCCTAAAACTGAGTGGATGACTCCCAAAATTTAACCTGCACCTTGGTTACATACCTCCTCCAATTTGGCATCAGCCCATAATGCTACCAAAAGGGGCACTGCCCCTTCTCTCAGCGAAGGTTTATTTCCTGCAACATCACCAGCTTCACACAACTGAAGATGAGGCTGCACAGGACAGCCCAAGTTAATGTAGCTGCTGGACCTTATCAGAGAAAGGTCCTGGTCTTCATTCCTTGCTCAAATGACCCACCCCATGCCAGATTTAATGCTTGTGTGACCGCTCCAAAGGCTGTAGGCAGTTTCTGCAGTTAAATGGACTTGAGTCACTGAGGACCAGAACTGGAAAAGAGAGGGGCTATTTTCAAAGACAACTGATTATCTGCTTTATCACACCACAAACTAGCAACCATGGCAGAAAGTCGGGTGCTGGGCTCCTGGGGGGAGCTGAGGAAGAAAGAAGGCAGTGAGAAAAAGTGTTTTCAGTATCCCCGAGATCGAGCTAAAAGTGCCTGGGGAACAAGGGTTTTCAGAAGTTCAGAGAAGATGTCCACAAAAAAAAAAAAAGGATAATGCAGCCTCAGGTTATTTACTGGCTGATCTCCCCTTCAGGATTGGTGCACCTGAAGTTGCATTTTTACACTGTGACAGAAGATTCATCCTACTGGCTAACAGAGGGATGCATCTATGAAGTGTGTCTGAGTTGTCTGTGCTCTTAACTTGCATGAAACTCAGTGCCTGCTGTATTTGTTTAGCATCAAGGAGATAAAAGGTGACAAGCAGCCATATGTAGCAGCAACCAGCAATAACTGAGCAGCCAGATACTGCTGGGGATAAAGAGAAAAATGTACAAAAAATGATGAGAGCAAAACAGTAAAGGAGGTTATTATCAATACCAGATTATTCAGCGTCAGATAAAGGAAAGTTGAACACAAAAGAAAATTAAATCCTGAGTGGATGGCGATAATTTTGTAGGTGAGATGCAACAGCCATAAACACAAAGCAATGCACAAGTATACAGAAATTTAACTGCACAGGCAGAAGGATGCAAAGCTATTAGCACGCAGGAAAGAGAAAGCAAAACACCAGTTTTATCAGCCCAATGTTCAATAGCAGTCAGAAAACAAGAAGAGGGATTATCAGGAAAGGAACATTATGGAAACATGAATGTGCTGCTGTACAACTCTGGGCAGACTCCTGTCTTGAAAGCAAGATACTTCAACTAGAAAATGTGCAGAGAAAGACAAAACATATGAGAAGAGATTAAACACATTAAATACTCATGAGGCTTGCGAAAAGATGACTGAGGAAGATACACTGCTGGACACCATGACTAGCGTGGAGACAGTGAAAAGGAAAGGAAGAGGGAGGAATATCCAGGCAAAGTATGACTGCAGGTTTCAAGGCCTTTCCCCACACATCCGCTATTGGCAGCTGCCAGAGGGCTTCTGAAGAACATAAATCTTCCACTGGACTCAGCACAGGAACGCTTATACTATGTATGGGAACGCAGCCGATGGAGGGGGCCTTGGAGGTACTCTCTGACCACATAACAAGTCACAGATCCAGCACCAACTGCAGAAACAAACCATCTATACTTTCATCCATAATTCTTTTAAAACCTCTAATTCCCATGGAAGAAGCCATAACAGCCTGGACACTCTGAGCCTGGAACTTGTTTTCCTACTGCTGCAAGTGCAATGGAGGTTAGACTTTAAAACACAAGTGAAGGTAGCAAGTGAATAGCAGTCTGCTCCTGTCCATATGGATGTTCCCATCACCTACCAATTCATATTATATCAATTTTATTTAACAGGACAATACTGTGGGTTACCTAAATATGGAGGTCTATATAATAAAGTGCAAAACAAGAGCTTTTTTCACTAGCCAGAAGCATTATGAGAACCAACATTACAATATATTGCTCCACAAGGTAACTTCAGACAAAAAGAAAAGGTTAAGCTAAGATTCTGCTGTCACTAGCTCACTTTCTCTTCTGCCCCAGAACAAGGTTTCTCAACTCCTCCTCTGTGCCAGGACTAGGAACCTTAAACCACAGGGAGATGATGCAGCTGAAAAACAAGCCCTGTTCAGACTAACACAGGGCCACTGTACAGACACAGAAAGGATAGCGGAACCAGGAAGCCAGGGGAGAAGATAAGACAAAACCTGTCTTACCAGTTAGGTTCAAGCCAAGTGTTACTGTGCAACTTCAAGTTATCCACATCTGAGCCAAATACCAGTTTGCATGGTGTTGCTTCGCTTAATGGAAAGCAAACGGGTAGTTCTCTGCAAACAACTGTAACGGTTTTGAAATTCAAGGAGGGCCTAAAGGAAATCTGGTTTTAACCAGCAGCAATAGCTTGATAAACTGTGGATGCCAATGATCCATTGCAAGTATCTTTGTTTCATGTTAACATTCTGCTCAGTTTCCATCTTCAGTTAAAAGCAATGAAATGCAATTTTGCTGCTTCATATTTATGTGATTACAAAAAGACAGTTTGTTTAGTTTTTTTTCCTAATTCCCTAACTCAGGATGAAAGTTGCAGCTGTTTTGACTTTCAGTGCAGCTTTTGGGCCTGAATGGATGCACATTTCAACGTGAGGAGGCAACTAAAGCATAACTAAGCAACTTACCAACTGTTTTGATTCTTATTAGAGAAAAACAGTCTTTTGCATGAGACAGTTGGACTGTTCTTCCTGGTTTTCCCTATATAACCCATGCTGCTAGTGAATCAAAGGGAAAAGGTTGGGTGTTTTTTTTTAATTGAGACTATCAATAGAGAAATATGTTCTCTAAAAGGCCCAATGTCCAATTTTTATTATTTGGATTAACCCTGGTGACAAAGGAAACTAAGATTGAGCTGTAACAATAGGAAGGATCCTTGTATTGTCGTTTGGCTTTGAAGCCAACAGAGTCTGTATTTCCTACTGTCTGCACACAAGATCACTTCACGAGCTGGTAGGAAGAGGTAATTACAAAGCTGCCAGGACGAATTTACATCACGGAGAAAAAAAATGTCTGGTGTTTTATTTTCATTGTCCTTTTCTTCTTAACAGAGAATTGTTGCATTTAGCTTTGACATTAAGAAAAACAACTTCTGTGCCTGTTTACAAGGTCAGAAGATCCTCAGCTATGCTGCTCTGGTGGTTGTGAACATGCATTTTTTGGCTACATGCATCAGAATAATCCACCTTACCTAAAATAACAGATGGATGCAGCAATTCATGCAATATGCAAGTGTTTTACAATGTTCTTTCCTTTGATAGGGCATAAATAAAGAAAACAGGAACGATGCATTATTGCCTAACTCTGAGTCAGAAAGCCTGCTCTGAAACACCGTGTGCACACACACACATAACCAGCCCCAAGCCACTGCAAGTGCTTCTGCAGATTATATTTCTATTGGGGGTGCAGTCCTGGAAATTCCCCAATTACACCAATAAAACAATTTCAATATACAATTACCACACACCCAAAATAACAATCTATGAATTTCTTCATCCAACCGGACTCAAGTGTCCTGTCATTTTTAAGCCAACTTTGTGCTGTTTCACTGAGCCTAACTTAAAATTAATTTAAATACAAGCTAAGTGAGTGAAAGTGAAAAAACACAGGACAACACTTGTTCTGCAAATACATGCTAGACATGTCATTGTCAAGCTGCCAGGGTAGTTACAATTTGACTAGAATCCCACACTTTTCAGCCCAGATTTTTCAAAAACCTCCCTCAGGATCTACTGTCAATTAGAAACTACTCAAAAGACAAGTGGATAGCAATTAAAGAGCAACACACTAGGATGAAGAAGGAATGCAGCTAAACAGACAATACCAAAATTAAGTGCTCCTTAAATAGATGTGATATAGATGCAGATTGCAGGAATAATAATTGCAAAGTTAAACTTGTGTCCTGCAAATGGAGCAGCTGTTAAATACAGTAGGATCCCTGCCAAGGTCAACAACTGCCCAAATGATCCTGTGAAACAACCTGCCAAAATGATGTTGTGAAACAAAGTCCTTGATGCTTGGAAAAAAGAAAATACCCAAACCTAACTTTGCCACTGTAACAGTATTCTCGCTTAGGTCGACAGTATTAGGTTCCCAGCTGGTGGGAACAGTGGTTTTGGTTACAACTTGACAAATTGCTCTTAACATAAACCTTTAATTTTCACTGTAGGAATCATACCTGCTTTATAGCTTGTTGAAGTTTTTCCAAATTTATTTCTTTGGCTTCTTTTAGTAATGTCTTTTCATCCATCTTTAACATAGAAACTCTGTACTGGCATAGTTCTACCACAACTACATCAGGCTGCACTTCTTGTATTGTCTGAAAAAAAAGAATTTATTTACACTGCTTTAGAAAGGAATAAACAGAAATGCAGCCAATATCAATACTTTAAAGAGAAAAGCGACTTAAAAAGCACATTCCAACAATCATTTTCAATTAAAAAAACAGTGGAATAGTAAATAAGACTTCTCCAAATAGCTATGTATTGAGAAAAATATTAAGGAAGCAAACTGCCTTAGTTCCTGGATGCTGTGGGACAGGAAGATGAAGAACACATTGTGCTGGGGAGGAGAGCAGGAAAGAAATACTTGATGTTAAACTTTTCACATTCACAAAATTAATTTGACCATACTCTGTGATTATTTGCAATCTGAGTAAGAACCATGGTTGATGATTCTGGCACAAGATTTCTCCCCCTCTATCTCCTGGATAATAAAGCCTCTCTAAACTGCAGATTTCACATGAGGTACAGTATGAAATTGTTCCTACTTGCACCATTCTTGAGACTGGATCCAAGTTTGGGACAGCATGGTTTTACAGCCAAGTATTATACAGGCAACGTAAGTTTCACTGGTGAGATTTCAACTTGCAACACTGACACTGGATTGGCTTTTTTTTTTTAAGGACAAATAAAAATATTTGAGATGGGAGAGCAATGTATTGCATCAAAAATTATTACTATAACATGTCTGCCTCTCATCCCACAGTGCTGTTAGCCTTTCAACAGTCAACCAGAAAAAACAGAGCCTGAAGGTTACAGCACAGAACCAAGTCAGAGAGCTAGACTTTATTCTACTTAATGCTAAGTTGACAACATTATAAACATGCTGCTGAAGGGCTCACACTTAGCATTTACCTTTACTACATCCTTTTTGCTGCTGTCACTGAAGTGAGCTGTTCCAACCACATACACTTTAGAACCATCCTCAGTGTCAAGCTCAGTCACAGTGCTTGGTAAAGCAGGCTTTTTCTGTCTCTTCTTCAACTTCATCTCCAGGAGAATTTTAAATGCATCTGCATCAGCTATAAGTGTATAGAAAAACAAAAGAAAAGCCCACATGATATAAAGTGCAGGTAAGTAAAACAGAAAATAAAAATGTCGCCACTAAACAGCAGAGCAGAGCTAAAAGGCCATTGATTTACCACTGTAATCTTACATTCAATTCTGAGGCTACATCATTGAGAGTGCCATCACTGGAGAGGCTGCCTCCAAGCATGGGTCTCAGTCCAGGTTTCCTACCCTGTGGACACTGGGACAGGTTGTCCACGCAGTTCAGTAAGGGAAAGAGAGAAGCTGTGTGGCAGGTGAGGTGGATAGAGAAGCAAAGAATACTTAGAAAAGGTATACACTAAATTAGGAAAAAAAAAAAGAGCATTTTTTAAATTCTAAAACAAAATTGTCCCCTTTTGGGATTTTTATCTATATAAAAGATAGCAACACATGTACACTGGTGTGACTGTGCTGGCAGTCAACTGCACATACTGGCACACACAGGATACCTACAGTACCAACCTTAGCCTTTTCCGTGATTAACACACCAGAGATCAGTACACAATTAAAAATTAAACCTCAAGAGGTAGTTAGGTCAGGAAACCGATAATTTTTCCCTAGTTTCAACAAACTATTTAAGATCAAAACGGTACAAGGTGAGTTTAGCCCATCTATGTCAAGCCTGCCATATGGAAAATAGGAGGATCTATCAGTTCTGTCACTTGTTGCTTGTTAAATGCCAGATAGCCTCATTAGCTGAGATAGAAAAGCTTCAACTCTACATCACTGGAAAATATAGTCACTTTGAATGAGTATCTTAGAGCTGTAATGCATCTTAGAAAAAAAAGCATCAAGCAGGAAAGCAGAGTTTTGTTTCCAACCAACTCTCTTTCTCTGGCAAGCTCCTGTACAAGTTAGCAGAGGTCTCAAGTGGTCTCCAGAAGCCTGGAATAGGATCATAATCCCAGGGGAAAAAAAAAAAGGTTAGTGAACAGTTTGCAGGCAGGATGTCAAAGATGCAGATAAATTAGTCTCCTATCATACATTCATTTCATGAATCTGGTTTAACTGTGTGGTTCTGGCCCCAGATCTGTCCCACAAATACTTATAAGACTTTACGTAAAAAAACCCCAAAAAACCAACCAAACCAAATCAAAAACCCCCTACCCAAATAAAAAAAACCCCAAACAACCCCCCCCCCAAATTAAAAGAACCCCACCCAAAACAAAAGCAACCTTTCAACATCCTTCTGAGTCAGAATTTCAGCAGCCTACAACTTCATGGTCAATACCCAAGAACATGGTGTGTTGCAATCAGTACTGTCTGAGCTAAGACAATGTTGCTGCCAAAGCAGATGGTGATGCTAAGGAGAAGGTAGGGAAAACGACTGAAAAAGGAAGAAGAGGTAGAGCTGTTGCATTTGTAGCACTCTCAGTCACGTAATAATAAAAACAGCCATGGTAGATCAAACAAAATCCACCTAAGCAAATATCCTGCCTCCCACAATGGTCAAAAGTGGATGTCTAAGGGAGAATATGATAAATGGGGATGTGTGCACATACTTGCCCCAAATACTCTCCTAGCCTAAAGATATTTATGGTTCAGATTCCCCCAGTTGAAAGCGGTTTCTACATGTTCGGTAACCCTTAAAGGATGTAACTTGTACTTATTTTTCAAGCCTTCCCCTCATATATATGCTCAGAACTGGACTGAATAATGTTTCATGTGAAGAAAAACTGCTGTAATGGTGCAGTACTATTTTTATTTGTCCTTAAAAAAGGACACAATCAAGGAAAACATTCTCAGGAACAGCAATGGTTTTTATTAAACCAACTTCTATATCTGGAGAAAAAAGTAATATAAATTAATCTGCTTCTTTATGTCTGAATATATTTCCCATAGCTTTAGTCAAGGCTCTGTTTGCTCCCATGAAAGCTGAGATGCCTGGGGATTATTCAGCAACTTCAGCATTATAGTAATTTTGCTGTTACTAATTTGCCCTAAGGTGGTTCAGAGCCTATTATTTGCCAAAAAGCACAATCTGAATGTTCCTATTGTTATAAATGAGCACTGCATACATTAATATCACAACAGTATATCAATATACTGTATATCAAAATCCTAAGAAGCCTTTGTTTTCTCCTCCAGAGAAAGAAATGCCTGCCATTATTTGATCCTTACCAATGACAGGGAAGGATCGATACACTTCCTTGGCTTCACAGGACAGTTTTGGTTGGAATACTTCTGTTCTTACATCCTGCAGGCTTGGCCTTCATATCAAAACATTATCATGCTAGCATGGGCAACGCATTCCATCTGGGACAACTGATCAACATTGAATCACTAGATGCCAGACTGCTGAAGCAAACCATACTTATGCATCAGTGGCTTAGTAAGCAATGACTGAGCTCAAAACAGTATCTGAGTGTATGTATTAAATCTTAAAATATTTACTTTCTTTTTAAAGTATGGGATCAGCAAACTGACAATCGACAAGTCATTACTCTTTCTAAATTTGATTTACACAACTGGGCCTTGAAACAAATCATGAACAGATTAAGTCAGATGTGACCTTATTCACACCTCCCTTTGTGCTAACAGCCACATCCGTATTAGGTAAGGAAAAGTTAAGGACATTTAGTTTAATACACTTCCAATGTGATACACCCTCCCCAGTCAAACCAGAAACATACAGATATTCTGCGATACACTGGACGTTTCCTTCGGGCCATCTTCTGGTGCGTCAGAGGAGGACATTGGATCTGCAGCAGCCTGTATGAAACAAATTCAAAAGGAGGCTGGGAATTATAATGAAATGTTTTAATACATCTTTCCCTTTGTGAGCTTGCTCAATTTGAACCTACATATAATATTCAAGCAAGTAAATAATTTAAGCAGTGTCACAAGTCAAAACATCTGTGGTTTTACAACTAATTTTCCCAGCTGCATAAGTATGAGAAAGAACATATTAAAAACTACTTCATGCCTATTTTACAAGATAGTATTTATACCTGATGTGGAGCTTTAAAATAAATTGGATTCTAGATAAAAAGAATAAATTTATCTCTAACACTACTATAGCATTTTCTGTGTTGGAAACTAAAATGTGCACTGATTATTTTAATACCATTTAACTCAACTACCAGTCAGCATTAGTCTGTCAGGAGTCTGAAAGTTAATCAGCACTCACAAGATTAAACACATCCATTCTAGAAGAGTCAGGCCAAGTATTTTATTTGTTGGAATAATGTAAGGCAATTACACAAAATGCACACCCAACCTTATAAAGTTTATGTGCACGATGACTTTATAGATATATATATTTGAAATCAAAATCAAAAAGAAACACGGCATCTGCATAGTTTTGTCCTCTAAAGGATCAGAAGGTAACTGAAAAGATTCCCTAAGACTGACTCTTACGTATTATCACTAGAAGTACATGATGCGGGTCTTTGGCTAACAAAAACCTTTTTTATTTTTAATTAACAGGCAAGTTTTAAAACCCATGCATAGAATCCAATCAATCCCAGTCATTCAGCAAGTGTCATCCAAGCCAGAGAGGCAGAGTTAGTGCAGAAAAGAGACTTAGGAATAAGGGAAAGCTAAACCATAAATTATCTTTAGGCACCTACATTAATTCAAAGTTTAATCAAAATTATTATTGGGAGAATTTGGAATTCCTGAACAACACTGAGTCAAAAAGTTAGAGACTGGATGTGAATCCATCATTATTCAAGTACTTTCCAAGTGAAAGGCAGTATTAATGAGTCAGCAAGCAGGCAGCCAAGCTCTCCTGAAGGATGCCAGCCTTTTAGCTAAAATGACTGCTTTATTTACTTTGTACTTAACTTGGTAAGATTTAAAGCAAGACTGTACAAAGCACATCCAATTGTTAAGAGCTTTCAACAAGAGTAATTATTTTCTTCTTGCACTCCATTATGCCAAACAGGAATTTTCAGAAAATAAAGCCTGGGTGTCTTACTGTGGCCCCACTGAATGCAAAAAAAAATTTATGATACATATGGAGCAAACTCAAAAAGTAGAACAGCTTTACAGTGCAAAGTCTAAAATACTCACAGCAACAGATCATCCTTTCATTACAAAGCAAAAGTCTGTTCATTGACAACTGCAAACTGCAATTACACTGCAAACTGCAATTACATTCACAAATCTAATTTAACACCAGCTCAGCTTTTGATCACAACATATGGCTTGACTCTATTGCTTGCATACGTTAACTCTAGTCACAGAAATATTTTGGAAAAATTTATCCATCTGTAACATATGGAATTAATTCTGTCACTTGTGCTGGCTTTGTCATCATAGGATCACAACACCGCAGAGAGAAAAGCACTAAGCCACCACATGAGGAGTCTGTTGTTCTTTTTTTAAATTAATTAACAGGACAAAAGAACTGACATTCTTATATCTCATAAGATAAAAATTTCCTGAACTTTCCCTATTATATCAGAAAAAAGTTTTGAGATGTACGGATATGAAAGGAGAAGAGAAGGAACAGGAAGGGTAGAAAAAGCACGTCACTTTAATGTGGCAAGGAACTTAAGCCATGTACAGTGAGATGATTTGTATCTAATCAATTTCTTTAATTTACTCACAAAACATTTTTTCCTCCTAAACGTTTAATCTCATAGGTTAGGCTATTTTCTGCAATTCCTCACTTGCAAGTAGATTAATACAAAATACCCTATTTAGCTTTTGCAATTGGAGGGAAAAGAACCTAAATGTGGTAAAAAATAGCACTCAGCTCCCCATCTCCCTGTTTTAAAAGGGGTCTCATGCTGGTATTTTCAACCCTACAACTCTGCAGAACTTCCCCCAGGATGAGTGGAAGAACCTGGCTGATTCAGTCTTGACCTTCCCTGCAATTATATTGAGAAACAAACTTGTCTCCAAGCCCTACCTCAGGCTGTTGCTCCTCTTGCATCCCTGCAGCGGAGACTTATTTTCACCAACCACACAAGAACTGCAAGAAGTAAAAGTAATGAGAGAGAATTAAAAATTAATGGCATCACCCAGAATACTTGCTTAAAAACTGCAAAGGGGAAGAAAAAAGTAAATGCGTCTCTACAGTTTCAAATAAAGGTTGAAGTAATAAAAGTGGCAAACTGAAGATGCACAAACGTCACTTATTCAACTCTCCTGGTGTTAAAATAACCACATCAAACAACAAAAACAAACCAACAGCAATCCCCCCCATCAGTAGGGTAGAACTAGCCTGTTTCAGTATGGTTCTTGAGGTGGCTGTAAATCCAGAGCACAGTCCTGTTCTCACACACACTGAGAGTATCTTAATAAACACGGGTGGATTTCATGGGAACTTGGAATTTGCTTTTTTTACTGTCTTAAAAATGCCTTTTTCCTCCAGATCAGTTCATAAGTGGTCGTCATGGTTGTCAAAAGGGTTTTTGCAATAGCAAAATAGTTCTGTCTTATCCAAATAAACTACACCAAGACAGTTTTTATACAAATTTTAGGAATCATCTGTATTTCTAGGACTTCACCACTACACAGAATAGGAGAGCAGCCACAATCTTAATACTCAACTAGAGCCACACACATTGTTATTTGATCAGCATCATGTGATCACATATATTTACAAATATGCCAGGGTCAGAACATCAGTAAGATTGTGTCTGTGTGAAAAACCCAGGAAATTTGGTTTTCAAACCCTTAGTGAATGGTTTCCATGTCTTAGTTTAACAATATGGATGAAAGAAGGAACCTTAAAAGTCCAGAGTTTTTCCTGAAGCTGGAGAGTGCTATGTTCTGACTTGGGTGGTACTCTAAGGGGATTGCACAAGACACTGAATGCATGACTAGCACTCATTCTGCTTATTCTCACTGCTATCCCACTAAAATTGAAGCACTCAAAGAAAGTGCTGCTTCTTTATTACAACATTTTGGGTTATCTTCCTTTGACTTTTTTCACAGTATATGTGAACAGTGTTTTATTTCATTAGGCTGGAGAGCAGTCCTGACCAATTTAGTCATACAACACATTTGCTCTAAAGAGTGGAGGGACAAGTTTGGCTCCTGCCCTATGCTCAGGTGATGTTGGAGGAAAGCTGGGTGGCTGGCTATCTGTATATGACAGTGTATTTCAGCACACAAATGTGATGGGAAGCCTCCCCCTTTCCCAAATACAACAGTTTCCTGCAGTCAGATTAGTGCTCTGCATCCTGGTTTCTGGCCTTTACTTTCAAGTCAGCTGTTCCGCTTTCTAGCTTTGCTTAAAATATGTTTCTTTAAAAGAGCATTTGCCTGGGCAGTGTGAAGCATGTGAATGTAATTCCAACCACTGGCACACCTCCCTCCATGTGCTCTCGGAGGGATTTCAGCGATTCCTGCCTTCGCACTGTCCACTGCTAGCTGTCAGCTGGCAAACTGGAGATCACAGCTGCAGGCTGGGCAAGAAAAAAGTGGAGCAGCCAAGATCCTGGCTTCTGCATGGTTCCTGGAGCAAAAGCCCCATGAAACCCAACAGAGCCCCACATCTCAAGCAGGCAAAAGCTACAGACACAGCTCCCAGGCTGCGAGGTAAATACCTCATTAAAATAAAAATACAAACTGCAAACAGTGCCAAGAGGTTCAGTAAAACAAACTATTCAGAGAAATGAGAGAAGTCTGCACAGGCAACATAAGCACTCCACTGGTTTTGCATAATTTTGCATAATTTAATTTTCAAACCAGGACCGTGCCTTGCCATCTTCCAAGGAGTCAGGTCAAGGAAACTTGGATGTCAGAGTAAGTTGAAAGGGCAGGTGAAGCTGAGCTGCTCTTCTGTTTCAGTGTTTCCACAATTTACATGTGGTGTGGACAAATCTAAAGAAGCACAGCAAAGGAAACCCCTGCCAGGAGACCTGCAACCTAAATGGGACACATCAACCCACTGGCTCCTCCCTCCCTCTGGTGGCTTTGTGAGTTTAAGTGAGCCCAGAGCCTGTTTTTTATCCTGTCCCGTCTCCGATAGACTGGTTTAACTACTTGTTGACTTAGTCACTAAACTAGACTGAAGAGCATATTCAGATTAAAGAACAACCTTCTTTCTCCCCCTCCTATGCTACCAAGGCATTTTAAGCTCAGATAACCAAACAGCTGTAGGAACAACTGCAACAGCAAAACTGGAGGGACAGTATGAAGCAGAGATGCTGAAACCAAATGCCCTCTGAGAACATACTTGTCCAACTACATCATCACCCAGGGTATACCAATACTCTGATGCTCAGCTCTGGACTTGGTTCTCAACTGGTTTATGTGCAAAATACCACAGTGTTTTTCTGCCAGTGAATCAGCTGGCCCTAAGCACAACCTAAAGTTCTAAGCTTGGTTAAGGCCTTCTGGTGTTTGAAAACTTGTCTCTTATCTACAGAGTGCTCTTAAAAATAGTAAACTGCAAGTTTTGATTAAAGAACAGACTTCTATACAGAAGCACTGAGTGGTATTTTTTCCCACCAAGTGACATTTTAGAAAACCTCATCCCATTCTCACCACTGACTAAATTATATATCTGATACTGGCAGGGGGGAGGCAGGGAGAAAAAGTGAGGTATCTTTGAAGTTTACTCACGCTAACTAGCACCACTTTTCAACTGACCTGTACAACCTTTGGAAAAAGCAAAGCTGTTTGTTCACCGTGGTTCCCAGCTCCAGCCTTGCAGAG